AATCCATGCCAGGTGCAGGGTCTGCTGGCTGGGTGCGGGCAGGCTTGCACCTGGCACGGGCACTGTAGCCAGCCCGTGCCCCTTTAAGGGGTCCGGGGCCGGGAGGGGGGCAATAGAGTTTCCCTGGTGTTGGCCAGAGTGGCCACCAGGGAAACCTGGGGAGGGCTAGCCTCCCACTAGTTCAAATTAAGGGGCTACACACCCTTTGATTCGAACTAGCTAGTTCGAACTAGGCTTAATCCTCGTAAAATGAGGTTTTCCTAGTTCGAACTAAGCGCTCCGCTAGTTCGTATTAAGTTCGAACTAGTGGAGTGCTAGTGTAGCGCCTATGAAAGTTAGTTCGAACTAACGTCCATTAGTTCGAACTAACTCTGTAGTGTAGACATACCCCCATGTAGTACAGGCTTAGTCGCTGCTATGCAGTGTTTCATATTTTGGAGTGAATTTAATGCTCATAAAAGCAAACAATTGAGCAACAAAGATGAGAGCCAAAAATATTGCAGCATGTGGCTTTGTTTTGCATGGTTCTGACAAGGTCATAACTACTCACTGTTCAAACCTTCCTCCTGTTTTTAACCACCAGAAAACATTACTCCTTGCATGACTTATGAGAACAATTACACATATTAACTTAAATACATTCACTTTCTTGTATGTGATCATTAAACAGAACAAAAGAGTACATCTGATTTTATTCAGCCTGGATACTTCTATTACATGTTGTAAATGTGCAGCATCAAAAATATATCTTCAGAATTGTGCATATTTTTCCACATATTAAAGTGCACTCATGCAAACATATTTAGTTTGGTTAAACCTCTATTAATGTATTGGTATTTTCAGTAATATTTAGATGGTTGAATTTTTTGTCAACTTTTTTGATGCATGATTTTTTTCACAATATTTTCCACTTTTATCAATACTTAGAAATATTGAAAACTGTAGGGTTTTTTGACACAATGAAACCAGATATATTTTTGGTTCAGGTTGTAAAAATAAAAGTCGATTTTTCCCCCTCTACCCATGGAGTGTGCTTTTGTTAAACAAAAATCATTCTAAAAAATTCAAGGAAAACAAAATAATTTTTTGGCCAGCTCTAGTAATATATCATTTATAAACTACTACATATTATTAAAGACACTTATGATCATTGAACTGAAATGGTGAGTTTTCCCTGCTGATCTAGCACCTTACTTTCCAGGGTATTCTGAGTCATTGGCAATATGAAAATAACATTAATTATGCTAAATCTAATTTGAATTACTGAGTTGAAGACAATAGGGTATCCCTACTGTGAGACTTTAGTAATTTCATTTTAGTGTTTAATATTGCAGTCTCTCAGACAAACCCCCAGTGAAGTTCACTGGAATTTTCCCAAAGATAAAATCCTGCAGTTAGAGAAAGCTCTAGACACAGGATAAAATTGGACCAAAACTGAACTGATTCTCAGTCCAGCTCACAGATCTTTAAAGAGGAGTAAGGGAACAGGCATAGGCTGGTGTCATGGTGAGTCTGATCTTTGCAGATCCACTATATATTGTAACCCCCTCTGTACGTTGGCATGTGTAATGGGTTGTGCCTATTTCTTGAGCCATGCAGTAGTAGCTGCTAAGCTATTTAAGTTCACAATTTAA